CACACTTTGAGGATCAAAAGGATGATGACTACTTAAGGGCAAAAGTTGCTAAGTTAAGATTAGGTGATATTGAGGACTTGTTGAGAATCTGAGAAATGCAGGAAGAAAAGGAGATTAATTTTAAGTATTGATAGTGTATACTTCATGAAATGGAAAGAAGTCATAGAATTTTATGAGAAGCCTCAAATGATACTTGAATTGAAAACTTTAGTGAACCTGAGAGGTTTGAGCAAAGCAATTCATATTCATTTAATAAGGATTTATTAAGTACCTACCATGTGCTAAGTACTGTACCAGGTACTAGGAATAAAAAAGACAAAAAAGCAAAACCAGAGGAGGTGGATTAAAAGGATAAGCAGACTTGAGTGGAGTGGAAGGAGTCTTGGCTTTAGTTTTTTTTTTTAAGGCAGTTGGGGTTAAGTGACTTGCCCAGGGTCACGCAACTAGTAAGTGTCAAGTGTTTGGTCTGAGGTCACATTTGAACTCAGGTCCTCCTGACTTCAGGGCCAGTGCTATATCCACTGCACCACCTAGCTGCCCCAGTCTTGGCTTTAGGCAAGAGTTCTTAACCTGGTGTTCAGGAACCTTAAAAAGATACATATTTTGATAACTGTATTTTAATATAATTAGTTTCCTTTGCAACCCTATGTATTTTATTTTATTAATTTAAAACCACTATTCTTGGGGCAGCTAGGTGGAGCAGTGGATAGAGCACCGGCCCTGAAGTCAAGAGGACCTGAGTTCAAATGTGGCCTCAGACCAAACACTTGTCACTTACTAGCTGTGTGACCCTAGGCAAGTCATTTAAAACCCCCAATTGCCTAAAAAAACCAAACAAACAAACAACCCCCCCCCCATTCTGAAGAGTCCATAGTTTTCACCAGACTGTCAGAGAGGTCCAGGATGCAGAAAAGATTAAGAAGCCCTGCTTTAGAGTTGGATGTCCTGGGTTCATTTCATGACTCTCACTCATCCACCTGTGTGGCCTAAAATCATTCAACTTCTCTGGGCCTCAATTTCTTCACCTCTAAAAGAAGGTTATTTATAAGGTCCCATCTACCTCTACATCTTTGAGCTTATGGAAAAGTAACTGAAATGTTTGATTTTTTTTTTGCTTTGCATTTGCTTTTACAAAAAGTGGCAAAATCCAAGAAAATAAACTGATCAGATATTCAGTCAGAGAACTGAGAGACAGCTTAGCATAATGGACAGAGTGCTAGATTTAGAGTGAGGAAGATTCAAATCCTTCCTTAAATTCGGCTTAAGTGTGTGACCATGGACAAATCAGCTTTTATGAGCCTCAGATGGTCATTTAATTCTTAATTACTGATTTATAGGTAGGTTTCAGATTGGTAATGTGAAGATGGAGGACATCCCCACATTGGAGAAGTCACAGATCCATGACTATATTGAATTAATAACAGTAAAGGTCCTAGGGTTTGTTCCAAGACCCTTTAAAGATCCAATTCAATTTCCTGCTCCTTTATTTCATCTGTGTCACTACTAATGCATAATTATGTCTATAATTGCAATCCTGAGGCAGTTGAGTCAAAAAAGTGATGGAGTGCTGGGTTTTGAATCCTGTCTCTGACATTTAGCAGTGAGTAACTTGTAGGCAAGTCACTTAGTTTCTCTCCTCAGTTTTGTCATCTTCAAAATGGGACTCATACTTTCATACTTATCGCACAAAATTGTTGTGATGATCAAATGAAATAAGGTGTATAAAATACTTGCTAGAACAGAAAACAATATAATGGCCAGTTATGATGATGATAATAATTGTTATCCCATATCCTTCAAAGAAACATTTAAGTGTTTTGGTGTAATGTATTTAATAATGCAACAAAGTGTTCTAGAAAGTTTCCACAAGAAGGGTGATCCTCAGTTGATCAGAATATTCCTTTACCCCCAGCATACTTGTTAATTCAATTTAACAAACATTTATTAAAGTTCTCCTATGGATCAAGAAAAGCACTGCTTTTTTTTTTTAAACACCAGGTACTGTTCTGCTCCTAATACTGAGTTAGTCTCTATCGTTTGTGTTTCTAGACTTGCTTCAATTATCATGATTAGTTTGGGATTTGGAGACAGTATGCCAAGCTTTGGAAAAGGCTTGAAATGCACTTATTGTCTAGTTCTATAACATCCACTGGGCGATGATTATGATTGCTGAGTACACTGGCCTCTATACTCTCCGATTCAGAGTTTCATGAGTCTAGATTTGTCATTTAGATGTAGTGAAGAACTATGCATAGGGTCAGGACCCAGTCCCCTTGATACATCTGGGGTTCAAGGCATCGGTCCAGATTTCTCCAGAGTTGGGTTTTGTTTTGTTTTGTTTTGTTTTGTTTTTGGACACCTCTACTAACTAACCATGTGGTACAGATTTGGCCATGTGACTCGTATTCAAGCTTTTGATGATTATATAAATGTGATACCTTAAACTGAAATGTTAGGTAGTCACAAGACAAGGTAGAGGGGCTGGGTTGGAAATATCTATTGTTAACAAAATGTTTGGGAACCCTATATGAAAGTCCTTAAAAGAGCTCTGTCAGAACTGGAATCTAGCCACTGAAACAGTATTCTTGTGGCTAGTTATTCTCCCTCTTGGTTCACCTAGATTTTTTTTCTTGCTAGTAATGTTATCTTCTCGTTTTACTGTTTGCATTATGATAAACAACTGTGTGCTTATTTGTGATTCTAGATATATAGGATGCCCTGAAACTCTTAGTGTAGTTTTATGCTTATTAAAGCTTTGGGGACACTTGAATCTGTGCTCATGGTGTTCCTCTACCCCAAAGATATCATCTATTTGTTATGGCTATTGAATTCTTCCCCCACGCAAGGCACTGTGCATGGCATTTTGAGTGTTTGGCTACAAAGAAGACATACTTCCCTCTTTTGGGGGACCCAGATGTATGGTTTCGTTGGTATAGGGAATTCTTCACTGATGAAGATCAGCAATTTATAATTACAGCATTAGAGACTTGCCCAGGTCCCTGATTGCTTAGGGGACTTGCCCATGGTCCCACAAACTAGTCTGTCAAGAGACAGGATTGGAATCCATGTCTTGTCTCCCAGGCCAGCCCTCTATTTCCTATGCCTTACTGTCTTTTGAGATCAGATGGTCCCTTATCACAAGTGAAGTGAATATTAGGGACTGATTTCCACCGTTTATTTAAACTTAGCTGATTAATCAAAGCTTTCCAGTGCCTTGGTATGCATGGGCCATTAAGAGTTACTCAAGTTTGCAACTTAAGTATCACTGTGGCCTCTTCCCTTATAAAATCTCACAGTTTCTTTCACTGCTGGGTAAAGTATGTTACAATACTTGTTAAATTGATCCTCTTCACTCTGTCTCCATTGAGACTCTCAGGTTGCCACTAGCTTGAGCTCAGTAACTTTTTCCCATTAACTGTCATCATCATCATCATCATCATCATCATCTAAAATAAAGTAGGCTCCTTAAACAAAGTCATAATTACAGACTCTTCTTAGTTTCCTCCAATCAACAATCAATAAACATTTATCAAATGTCTGTTGTTTATGTCAGTCACTGTGCTAGATGCTGGAGCTACAAATGCCAAGAATGAAGAATCTCTACATCTGGTTTGTCTGTATAGCAGAGTGCAAGACTTGGGGGAAGAAGGGGTTTATATCCAATGAGGTTGGAAAGATATGTTGGCACCAGGTTGTGAGGGGCTTTAAAAGATAAAACAGAGGAATTTTTACTCTAGAGGAAAGAGGAAGCCAGTGGAGTTGAGTAGGGGAGTCAGGTGGTCTGACTTGCACTTAAGGAAAATTCCTTTGGCTGTGGTGTGGAGGATGTACTGAGGCAAGGAGGCCAATTAGGAGGCTGTTGCAATAATCTGGGAGGAGATGCTGAGGTCCTGAAATAAAGGGGATAGCTGTGTGAGTGAAGAGAAGAGATCGGATGAGAGAAATGTTGTGGAGGTAGAAATGGCAAGATTTGGCAGCCTATTGGATGTGTGGGGTGAGAGAAGGGGAGCAGTTTCAGTTGAGTGATGAGGTTGAAAGCCGTATTGCAAAGGGGTTGAGGAGTGAGTGAGAGTGGAAGAAGTAGATGAAGGCAGAGAGTATAGACAGCTGTCCTCCAAGCTAGTTCCTGGTTCTTGGCTACTGTGAAAAGAGCAGCTGTAAAGTAATTTTGTTTTAGCTTCATTTGTTACCATTTCCTAATGTAGAGAATATTTATATCAGGAAACCCATCTAGGAAATGAGTCAGTAATAGAGCAGATAAGAGGGACTCAACAGCCTTGATCACCCGAGTACCATAGTCTGGATCTATGCTGGGTAAAGACAGTCCACAAAGTGGATTTTCTACAAGTATCTAAAGGAGACATTTTTTTTGTAAATTTATTTATTTTTAGTTTTCAATATTCACTTCCACAAGTTTTTGAGTTCCAAATTTCTCACCCCTCCCCCCACCCCAAGATGGCATGCATTCTGAATACCCTTTCCCCTGGTCTACCCTCTCTTCTGTCTCTCCCTGCCCTTCTCTTATCCCCTTCCCCTTCTATTTTCCTATAGAGCAGGATAGACTTCTGTATCCCATTTGCTGTATTTCTTATTTCCCAGTTGCATGTGAAAACATTTTTTTAAAAACATGTGTTTTTAAAACTTTGAGTTCCAAATTTTCTCCCTTCCTCCCTCCCCACCCACCCTCATTGAAAAGGCAAGCAACTCAATATAGGTTGTACATGTGCAGTTATGCAAAACACTTCCTTAGTAGACATGTTGTAAAAAACTGACTCTATTTCCCTTAATCCTATCCTGCCCTCCCATTTATTCTATTCTTTCTTTTGACCCTGTCCCTCCTCAGAAGTATTTGCTTCTGATTACCCTCTTTCCCAATCTGCCCTAATGGAGACATTTTTAGAAGGGAGTGTCAACAACTTGAATTCTGGGCAGAGAAGTCAGTGTTCTTACCTTCTTTGCTGCTGAAGTTCTGATGGATTCTCAGTTTTTCCTCTTTTTAGCTGCAGTTGGATTCCTGACTGTGTCCAGCGTCGTTACCATGTCAGCTCCCTTCTTCCTGGGAAAGATTATCGATGTCATTTATACAAATCCTACTGGGGACTATGTAAACAACCTGACCCACCTCTGCGTCCTTCTGAGTGGAGTGTTTTTGTGTGGTGCTGCTGCTAACTCAGTTCGTGTCTACCTCATGCAGACTTCAGGTAAGAAGGACTGTCTACCACCCCAAAGAAGTATTTCACTCTAATATTGTAAACTTTATCTTGGCCTTCATGTTTCACCTGGACTTTAGTAGGGTTAGCTTAGTGGAAGGAGCACTGGATTCTGAGTCAGACCCAGAGACAAAAGACTTGGGTTTAGATCCAGCTCTTCTACTTAGCTGTGTGACCTTGGCCAAATCACTTAACTTGAGCATTGTTTCCTTCCAGCTGTAAAATGGGGTAGTCATAGTTGTATTGTTGTGAAGATCATTTTAGTTCAACAAGCACTCATTATATGCTTACTTCATAAGGCATTCTGCTGGGCACTGGGGATACAAAGACGAAATAGAGACTGTTATCTGCCCTCAAAGAAGGAAAGAATGGTAACAACTAGGGGGAGAAGAAAAGACCTACATTCTCAAATGAGATAATGTAAATAAAGAATTTTATAAACTGTAAAGCCAACGTAAATGTTAGCCATTATTGTTATTACTTTTGCAGGCTATGGTTTTCTAATCAATATTTCCTGGAACTTTGAACATGAAGCACATTTAGGGATAAACCCCAGCCTTTGTTCATTTAGTTTTATGTTTACTCTTATTTTTTATATGACCATCATTTCCTTGTATACTGAGTCTTCTCTAATCCTGCCCTACCCTAAATACACACACATACTTAGCCTTCTGTTTTTTAAACATTTCTTAAAATTTTCTGATTTTAAAAAACATAAAGTAATATGAGTATTTCTGTGTATAGAGTGGAACAGAAAAAGATGACCCTACATGAAACTATGGATCTTTATTATTTGCAGCTTGCTTTTCTTTTTTAAAGTATATAACAAAATCAACCTGTAACTTTCAAAGCTGTCCTGCTTGTCTGTTTTCTACTGTTCTTCCTTCTATACTCTTGTATGTTTAAAAAAAAAGTTTCAGTGAGCCTCTTCCTTCCTTCCTTCCTCCTACCTTCCTCCTTCCTCTTCCTTTTCTCTCCTCCTCTCTCCCTCTCTCGTTTTGTATTTGTATTCCCAGTACCTCCCATAGTGCCTGCCACATATTAGGCACTTAATAAATGCTTCTTAAATAGAAAGCCACCAATCAAAACAGAGATATGATCACATATTCCCTAGGAATTGTATTCTGGCATCTGTGTGAAAGATGGATTGGAGAAGGGAGGAAAAGGAAACAGGCTAATTTGAAGGCTATAGTGGTCCAGGAGAGATAAGAGCTTGGACTATAGTCACAGCCATCTGAATGAAAGCTAGAGGAGATTGGATGTTGCAAGGCCAGAATTAACAGAGTTTCACAGATATTTGTGTGAAGGAGAAGAAAGAGTCAAAGATGAGGCCAAGGTTATGAACTTGGGTGACTGACGAGAAAAGGGTTTAAGGAGCAATAATAGAAATCCTCAAGGGAAGAGGTGTGACTTTAGGAGGGGAAGGTGATGAGTTCACTTTGGCCATGTTAAATTTGAGATGCTGGGGTAACTAGGTGGCGCAGTGGATAGAGCACCAGGCCTGAAGTCAGGAGGACTTGAGTTCAAATCCAGCCTCAAACCAAACACTTGACACTTACTAGCTGTGCAACCCTGGGCAAGTCACTTAACCCCAATTGCCTAAAAAACAAAAACAAACAAACAAAACAAATAAATTTGAGATGCTGCTGGGATATCCAGGTAGTGAGGCTCATCAGGCATCCTGCCCTCCTAAGAACTTGCAGCTTACATTCTAGGAGGCGGATAACACTACAAAATAGATGGCTGTAATACCTGTTATTTTGTGATACATGCTTTCATTACAGAACAGTTCTATGGGCAATTTTAGAGGCAAGACTGTTGACGAGCTTAGTTGTGAGGCAGCAGGGAAGGCTTCTTGGAGGAGTTAGCATTTGAATTGGGCTTTCAAGGAATTCAAAGAGTAAAGACTTGGGAAGGAGCTTAGACTTAGGGAACAAACTGGGCAAAGGCAGGAGGAAGGGGCTTGGAGTCAGAGAGTAATCCATTTTGGAGCATATAGGAAGGGAAAGGAAGAGTATGGAATAGCATCAGATGGTGGAGTACCTGAAATGCCAGGCCCACTGAGTTGGAGTTTTCTGCAATGAGCATTACAGAATAGTTGGAAAATTTTGAGCAGAGAACAGACCTTCCTGACCAGAAGGCTGCTAATTCATCTGTGTGACACAACCCCTGTAAGACTGAAGGTTCTATAGGGGCAGGAATAATGTTTTAATTTTTTTGTCTCTCTCAGCACCCAATACAGTATCCTGGACATAGTCATTACTTAATAAGTATTGTTGAACTTATAGGTCTTGATGACTGATTAGATAGGAGAGGCAAAGGAAAAGGCAGAATCCAAGATACCTAAGAGTTTTGAGCCTGGGTGATAGGGAAAAGCATAATATCATTGAAAGAAAAGGGGAAATATTGGGGAAGATCCAGTTTAGGCTGGGAGTAATCTGAGTGAAGCTTTTCGAGAGAAATCTAGTGTCCTGAATGAGAGCCAGTCCCACTGTAATTAGCCCTGGTCAGATCACCTCTGCAGTTTGGTTCAGCTCTAGGCACCCTACTTTTAGAAGAGACACTGACAAGCTATAATGTATCATGACTTCCCTACACACACACACACACACACCTGCTACCACCACCAAATTAGTATGATGAGGAAAATGAAAACTACTTCCATATAATGTCCACTTAAAAGAACTTGAGGATATTTAGCCTCAGGAAGAGAAGACTTAGAGGAAGCATGGCCGCGACTCACGTTAAATATTTGAAAGTTATCAAACAAAAGAAGGATTATACTTATTTTGTCTAGACTTGGAAGGCAGGACAAACTAATAGTTAGCATTTATGTAGCATTTTAAGGTTTACAAAGTAATGTTTGTCTTATTTAGTCCTCCCAACAATTCTAGGAGGATGGTAGTGTCACTATTTCCATTTTACAGATGAAAAAGCAGGCTGATGGAGGTTAAGGAACTTGCCCAGGGTTATACAGCTAGAAGTGCCTGAGATGGGATTTGAGCTCAGGTCTTCCTGATTCCAAATCCATGCTTCTGTCAACTACTACCACCTAAGTTTCAGCCTACTCTAAGAGCATCAGCTCCTAAGAGCTGAAAATGAAATGGATTGTTGGGAACTAAATGACAACAGATTGCTTGAGACGGTGATGCACTCCCTTTGCTAGTGGTGTGTGAGCATGCATTGGACATCTGCTTGTCTGAGATACTGAAACAAGGATTTGTGTTTTAGGTACACATTAAATTGGTCTAATGATCTCAAAGATCCTTTCTGGCTGTAAGATTATATGTGTAATTCTGCTCTACAAAGAAGAATAAAAATCTTTGTTAGTTCATCCTTATTTAAGCAATACATCCCTCTTTTAGCTTCCGTAGACTATATTGTTATTAAAAGAAAAACAGTTTTCCTTTCCAATGACCTAGCAAGTTTAGGTTTTTTGTTTTTGTTTTTTTTCTCCAGACTTTTAATTTCCCCGATATAGGGAACTCTGAGTGAGGCAATTCCCCCTACCAATGCATATCTATAACTGTTTTCCAATTTATAGGATCGGAGAGGTGCTTAGAAAACTGAAGATCACATAGCCAGTGTCAAGTGCAGAACTGAACCCAGGACTTTTGAGTCCACTTTGGGCACTCTGTCTGCTATGCCGTGCTGCTGCAAGGATGAGCACTGTGTTGGGATATTCTTCTTCTGCCATGTGAACAAGCGAAACTTGTTCTGCCAGATGCTGTCATAGCAAGTTGAATACCGCAGTGAATCTAGGCTCAATTGCTAGTTGGTTGTTGGACATTTCAGTAGAATGATAATTGTACCTGATGTGCTTCTGTTCTGTTTTTTTACAGGCCAGCGCATCGTGAATAGATTGAGAGGGAACTTATTCTCCTCTGTTCTAAAGCAAGAGGTTGCCTTTTTTGACAAGACCCGGACAGGAGAGCTGATTAACCGCCTGTCCTCAGACACAGCACTTCTGGGGCGCTCAGTCACTGAAAATCTCTCTGACGGGCTGAGGGCTGGAGCTCAGGCCTCAGTTGGCATCGGAATGATGGTATGTTTTCTGAGATCACGTTTGGTACATTCAGGACCAGGGCTTCTATTGGGCGAGAGGCTTCACTGAGCTCTTTCTGATGAATCTTCGAAGCGTTCGCTTAGCCCAGAGTTCTGACTTAAACTCTCTACACAGAGAAACTGCAGTGATAAGTGCTAACAATTCAGAAAGAGATGAGTAGAACTAACTTCTCATTATAGGCTGCCACTACATATTTTCTTCAGCCTCTACTTCCTTTCTCAAGGAGTCTTCTGAAAATGCTGCTCTCCCTTTTTCAAAGGACTAGGCATCAGGTATATGCCCTGCACCCTGGCTTTCCCAGGACTCTGCACCCAGGGCTTAAGGATAATAAAGGTAAGGAACACTTCATGTAGTGACAAATGTCAGTTTAATCTCACTGGGAGAGAAAAGCCCTGGAGCATTCCATTTCTGTTTTGCAACATGGTGACAATTTTCTCTCCTTTTTTTCCCCCCATAGGAAAAAAGGTGGTAGTGTGTTGTCTGTTTGTAACTCTCCAATTCCAGTACAATTCCATATAAACGATTATTTAAGTACCTGTTCTGCCGAGGCACTGTGCTAAGCCTCTGGGAATACAGAAATCACACAAGACAGTCAGCTTTTGCTCTTAAAGAATTTGGGATCCAGTTGGGGAGATAAGGCATGGACAAATAATTACAATGTAATACAAATTAGACCATCCTAGTGAAAAAGGAAGTCCAAGGAAAGTGAAAGATTAGAGCAGTTATGTAGTGGATTTCCCCTGAGTTTATCTAATTACTTTTGAATAGAAAAGCTTATCTCAAAAAATTAGAAACTAAGTTGCAAACCTTTTAAATATTTAATACTTTGTATTTTTTTTTCTTTCTTACAGAATCTAGCATTCAGCAACACTTCACTTTCTCTCTTCCCTTTCTTTCCTCCAGTCCACAGGAAAGTTTTCATTCTACATGTTGTATTTATGATGGAGACTATAATCTTTTATTAGTAAATGATTTTTCAAAAAAAATTTTTTTTTAAGCTTCATTTTCCAGCTTATTTGTGCCTTAAACAGCCTTCAAGGGCAAAAACACTAAATCACAAAACCAAATTTCCTGGCAGCTCAGAGAAGGAAGGACTGTTCAGTTCTATCCCATTCCATTCAATAAACATTCAGCACCTACATTGTCTAAGGCACTGTTACCAAAGTTAACCTTTTGGCATTCATTCTCTTTCTCAGTTGAAGGAAGAAGCCTGCTGAAAGGGGCATGTACTTAAATAGTCTTCTCCAAATATCTCAGGTGCATGCATAGTTTTTAGGTAGGGTGCAACTTTTCAATACTTTCCCTACACAAGAAAAATTCTGTTCATATTTAGTAATTGGCTAGAGGTAAGCTGATAAGGTCAGCTTAGCTACCTCATTTCTTCCTTAATTATGGAAAAAGTGGTAGAGTAGTATGATCTGAGGGATACAGCAGTAGTTTGGGAAGCTACTGGGCTGCAACTAGAGTTCTACTTAGGACTTTGCATCAAGTCCATTGTGTGTCTGTAGTCTGCCTTTGGGAAAAAAACCTGGTCTATCAGAAACTTAATGAGTTGCATTTAAAGAACTTAAAAAGTAAACAAAGCAACACACTATAGAAAGGCAGGAAACTGTGTAGACCAAGGAAGGAATTAGTAAGATGGAAAACAACTGAAAGCAACTGAAGTGATAAAGGAAACCAGGAACTGGTTTTTGAAAGGACACAACAGTTCAGTACTTATGTGAAGCTGATATATGAGATAAATTATCTCTAAAGACCAAGCCACTATTAATATATTTAATTAAGAAAATGAACAATTCTAATTACTGAAATTAGAAACATGCCCAAAGGGGTGATCACAATGAAAGCAAAATTAATAAAATATTCAGACTTATGCTAAGGTATTTGATAACTTAAATGAAATGGGTAAGTATCTCCAAAAATATAAAATAGCCAAACTGACAAACCAGGAAATGGATAACCTACATAGACTGATCTGAGAAGGAAATATCGGACCTGCCTTTAATGAGCTGCTCCACAAGTGAATTTTTTCAACCCTTCAAAGAACAAACAGTATCTTTATTATGTTGATTGTTTCTGTTGACGTTTTAAGTTTAGGAGTGCTGGGACCCCAAAATTATGACAGGCTCAGATTCTTACAATCCAGCCAATTGCTCACACATGTTCAGATTCCTTAAGAGTCTGGCTAATATGGCAGATCCTTAATAAACCTTGTCTTTGGCTGAAAGAAGGCTTTGGTCGAATTCTTTCGAACAGAACCCAAGTGTTGTGATCTTGGGGTCCTAGCACTCCTAAATCTCTAGACTTCATCAGTCAGATTCTTAAAGAATCTAAACATTTATGACACTCTTAAGGATGAGTGGGCATGAGGAAGTCTCAGCCCCTAAATGGTGGCCAGGCTGGATCTTATATACAGAAAGAGTATGAGAAGGATCTAGGAGTGTCTAAGTAGTTTGGGGTGACTGGAGAAGGAGCTGGGAGAAGGGGGTATCTTGATGGGAGTGGGCATTAAGCTAGGGTGACTAGAGGAGGGTCTAGGGAGGATCTGGATGGGAGTGACTGGGAGGTTGAGTGGAATCTAGATAGGATCAAGGGTAGGAAGTAGCCAGGGGCCATCTTGAGATAACAGACAATGGAGGGCTAGGCTCAATTAGGGCAACAAAGAATTGGGAGATTGGGCTGGGCATAGGCGATAAGGAAAGGCCAGTTGATAGGACTATAACTTCAGGCAACCTTTCAAGGAAGGGGTTTTTAGGGGGCTGTTTTGGGCCTTACCCTATGAGTGTCTACGAGGGCATGCTACTAGATTCTTTCTTTGATGAAAGTGGGGTTTTGTTTCACAAGCCTGACAGGAATGAAAATTATAAGCCAAGATCATTAATAAGCACCAGTATAAAAACATAAGATAAAGTGTTAGCAAATATGTAATTAAAAAAATTGATAAAATATATCAGAAAAGTATTGTGAACAAGTAGGATTTATACCTGTAATTCAAGGACAGTTTAGTATTTAGAAGGGGAAAAAATGTAATATCTGTAAGAAAAATAATTCAAATAAAGAGGCTTTTGATAAAATAAAACATTTAAAAATTAGGAGTAAATGAATTTTTTTCATAATGATATGATTACCTCATTGAAGATAATACTTAATGTATAAAATGGGAAAACAAATAACAAAATCACAGCATTTCAGACTGGGAAAGGCCCTCAGAGCCATCGAGTCCAACCTGGATATGAACCAGAATTTCCTCCACCACTTACTTGACTAGGAGTCCTCCAACCTTTGTCTGATGACCTCCATCAAGGTGCAGCCCTTCCTGAGGTGGCCCATTCCATTTTTGGACAGTTATAATTTTTTGAAAATTTTTTTTTATGTTATGCCTAAATTGCCTCTTTGTCACTTCCACTCATTGCTTCTAATCCCACTCTCCATAACCATGTTGAACAAGTCTAAGATACCTTGCATGAAATGACATTCCTTCAAACACTTTTGAAGGCAGATTTCCTCTCCTCCCCCAAACCTCCCCACATCTTCTCCAGGCTAAACATCTCTAACTCCCTAACTGTCCTCCTCCAGTGCTTCCCACAGTGCTTGGCATGTAGTAAGTGCTTAATAAATGTTTATGGAGTGACTGGCTAGTTCTTTATCATCATCTGGTTGTTCTCTCTGATTTACCAATGTCCTTCCTAAAAAGTGGAGCCCCAAAATGAACAAAATACTCTGATCTGATCAGAGGAGAGTGAGGTAGGATCATCGCGTCTAGTTCTGGACACTTCTCATTGTGTAGTCTTTATAATAGAAAATTACATGAACTTTTGGGGACTATCATAGCCCATTGTTGACTCAGTGAACTGTACAGAAATGCTCAGATCATTTTCAGATGAACTATAATGTCCAGCCATGTTTCTCCCATCTTGTATGTAGGGAGTTTTTTAAAAGCAAGAATTAGTTTATATTGATCTCTATTAAATGTCATTTTTTGAGAGGCAGGATGGTATGGTGGATAAAGAGCTGGCTTCTGGTCGGGAAAATCTGTATTCTAAAGTTCTCCCTCTGGCTGTGTGACCCAGGGAAATTGCATAACCTCTCTGTGTCCCCAGGAAACTCTCCAAGAATATTAAGCTTCAGAACAGTTGCCGATCTGCATTGATACAGGGAATTTTCCTTATGAGAAGTCCCCTACATCAATAAAATCACATCTAGCCTGGCCCACACCCCAAAAAAACCCCCATCTTATTTGATCTGGCCCAATATCCTAGCCTGTTAAAATCATTTTAGATGTTGACTCTGTTATTCAGTGTGGTAACTTCTCCTGCCAGTTTTGTCCCAAACTTGATTGTTTTGCCCTCTATGCCTTTATCCAAGCCATTCATGAATCATTAAATACTCAAGCTTTTATTAAGCATCTACCATATGCCCAGTACTGTGTTAATCATTAAGATGAGAAATGTAAAAGTGAGATAGTCCCTGCCCACAAGAGACTTTCATTCTATGAATATTAAACAATATGGGGCCAAGGAAAGATCCTGGGGGCAACTCTGCTGAGACATTGCTCCAAGCTGAAACTAAACTATTAATAACAATAACTACTTTTTCGGGTCTACAAGTTCAAATACTTTGAAATCTACCTAATTACTGTCATTTAGCTTTTAATTCTATCTTAGCTTCCAGAGGTATGAATGGGCTATTTTGTCAAATTAGATAAAACAATAACAATTCACAGGGAAATAGCAGCCCAGTGGCATTGTAATGCACAGAGTGCTGGGCCTGGAGTCAGAAGCACCTGAGTTCAAATCTGGCCTCAGGCACATCCTAGCTGTGTGACCCTGAACAACTCACTTAACCTTGGTTTGCCTCAATTTCTTCATCTGCAAAATGGGGATAATAATAGCACCCATTTTCCAGAGTTGTGAGGATCAGATGAGATAATGTTTGTAAAGTATTTAACAGTGCCTAGCACGTAGTAAGTGCTATATAAATGTTTGTTATTATTAAATGAGATTCCATTTTTGATATTTAATAGATATGAAGATTGAATAAAAATCATTTTAAATATCTTAAAATTGAAAGTCCCATTATAAATACAATTTAATTATGTGATATTGTATGTTTCCTTGAGACTACTTTGTAGAATTTTTGGAGAAACAAAATCACTGAAGAAAGCAGAAATGTACATTTTATTTTTTTCTTTATCTGGACAAAAGCATATTTTATTTTTGTTTTACTTATCTGAAGTTTTACTGAAGCTTTTTTTTTGGTAACATCACAGTAGTATTTATGAATAGACCCTCTCTTAATCCTCTCCCAGTGGTCTTTCTTTGTAATAAAGAAAAAAACAATAAAACAAACTCAGCCAACACAGACTATATCTCGTAGTCACCATATACAACACCCATATCCCCCCATCTTTACAATAAAAAGGAGATGCAAGAGGTATTTATTTTTTCCAAAAAAAATTTTTTTGATAAAGAAAAAGTAGATCTGGTATACTTACATTTGTATTGTAGTGGCTAAGACTTTCTTCAGAACTGTGTGAAGTGTTCCCCTTTTTCTGTTTCTGCAGTTTTTTGTTTCTCCCAGTCTGGCTACATTTGTTTTGGGTGTGGTGCCTCCTATATCTATCCTAGCAGTGATTTATGGACGGTATTTACGAAAATTAACCCAGATGACTCAGGATTCCCTTGCACAGGCCACACAGGTAAAGCTTATTCCTTCCTCTTTATTTCTTATAGATAAGGCTTTAGAAAATAGGGACCCTGTGCAATTTCAGTAGCTACAGGGGAAAGGTGTTGTGGTCACTTGACTATAGGGCAAGAGGTTATGCTTCCATTCTTCTAATATCTTCCTTTCTTATAGAGCCCCATTCAGCTCTCAGGAGAGGGACCCTAATTGCCACTCACATCTGAAGATGGATTCAACTTGGCAAAAAAATAATATGAACTTCTCACTTCCCCACATTATCTCCATTACTTTTTTTTTGGGGGGGGGGCCAGAGAGGGTAGGCCATAGTCAATGAGTATATGATTTTTTGGGGGGGAATCTGCTTTGTAAATTTCCAGGTAGTTCATATAAGTCTTTATGTATTTTAACCATACTTGATATTTGTCATTATTGAATGCTTTGTAGTATTCCATTATGCGTTTCTGCCGTAGATTTTTCAACCAGTATATAGATGTTGAACATTTAAATTGTTACTAGTTTTTCATAATTTAAATAGTGCTATGATGACTTTGAATAGATAGCTTTCCCTTCCTTTGTGATAATGTTCTTAGGGTAAATTCTCAACTATGGGAAACAGTTTTTGAAAAATTATGTTTTAATGTTTAATAGAATTGCATTGATATTTTTTGTCTTTACATCACCTAGATATCCCCCATATCTCTTTTCTCCCACTCTCCTACTTTTAATTTGAAAAAACATTGGAACTCAAAATTGTCTTTAAAGATTAGCAAAGCCATGCTACAGTTTTACTCCTAGAAACTGTTGGAACATGACTCTTAACAAAATGTTTGTTGTCCCACCCAGCTAGCTGAAGAACGGATTGGAAACATAAGAACTGTCCGAGCTTTTGGGAAAGAACTGAATGAAATAGAGAAATACACCAGCAAAGTGGATCATGTGATGCAATTAGCAAAGAAAGAGGCATTTGCTCGGGCAGGCTTCTTTGGAGCAGTAAGTAAATCATTTTTTGGAGGTGAAGAGATGATATCATGTTAGAATTATGGTGGAAATATGCAGTCTTCTGGCACAAGTCTGAGAAGGTCATTTCATGCCATGTCAGGGTTAAAAATCCTTGTATTTAAAACTCTGGATTGAGAAGGAAATAAAACCCCAGAAAGACTACAGTTTGGATTTTGGAGAGTTTGGAGACTGGGAAACATACATAAGAGAGATTAAAACAGGTGAGAATTACAGATTAATAAACTACATTAATAGGCCAGACTAGTGCTATCCACAGTTAACACTAAGCATGTATATCTGAGAGGGAGCAGAGCATAGTGAATAGAGATCTGATCTTGGAACCAGGAAGGTCTGCATTCAAGCACTACCGCTTACCCTTCCTCACTTGCTGTGAGGCAGGTCGTCTTAGTGTTTTAGAAAGCTTTTTAAGAGTCTACTTCAAAGAGAAGGTACCAGTTTGTGCTGGTAGAGGAAATGCTTCACCAGAAGCTCCCTTTACCATTGAAATCACAAGTCCAGAACCATCGATTACACACACATACATGCGTACATATAGATAGCAGCTAGGTGGCACAGTGAATAGAGCACTGGGCCTGGAGTCAGGAAGACCTCAGTTCAAATCTGGCCTCAGACACTTACTGGCTAGGTGAACCTGGGCAAGTCACTTCACCCTGTTTGCCTCAGTTTCCTCATCTGTAAAATGAGCTGGAGAAGGAAATGGCAAGTCCCTTCGGTATCTTTGCCAAGAAAACTTCAAATGGGGTCACGAAGAGTCAGACACAACTGAAAAACAACACATATGTATCCCCATCCCATTCCATATATGTGTGTGTGTGTGTGTGTGTGTGTGTGTGAGATATATGTATGAGTGTATATATATTCCCATCATTCATATAGAATTTTCCCCATCCCATAAATATATATGTATCTCCCTATCTCATCCCATATATACATATATATCCCCACATATATATGTATCTCCATCCCATCCTATGTATGTGTGTGTATATAGATATACACCCCATCATATATATGAATTTACCCACCCCATGTATTTATATGCACATATATATTCTTGTATATATACACACGTACATTCATGCATATATACATATATACACCTTGAAGTAACAGTAAGTCTCCCCTACAAAGTTATCCCTTGCATCAAAGAATAAAAAAGAAAGATGAATAAAAGCATTTCAGTGAAACCAACCAACCTGTCAATGATATCCGACAAAATATTTACTGTCTCCTAGCCCTCTACTTCTGTGAAGAAGTAAAAGAAGTACATTTTCTCTGTTCTACTCCAAGGCCAAGGCCATTAGGGTTTGGTTTTTGTTTTTGTTCTTTCCACCAAATTAAGTCTTATCTTTATATTTTGATGATAAGATTACTTCTGATATTTACACAGATGGCATTTGAGAAAAGGTTTTTTGTTTGTGGTTGTTTACTACTCAGAATGTTTCATGGTGACACATCCATTTGTTTTGACTTGATTTCTGTGTATTTTTCCTTTGACAGACAGGATTTTCTGGGAATCTGATTATACTTTCTGTCCTCTACAAAGGTGGATTGCTGATGGGCAGTGCCCACATGACAGTGGGTGAACTCTCTTCCTTCCTAATGTATGCTTTCTGGGTTGGAATAAGCATTAGTGGTAAGTAATATAAAAAAAGATTTTTAAAATTCAACACTGAAATAATGGACTTAGAGGGGGAAAATTAACTAACTGTACATGAAATAAAAGCCAATGATTCTGTCACCATCTCTTCCTTCCGTCTAATTTTTTCCTTTGTCCTGCTCTATCAAAGCTGTCTGTTTTTGCAGCCGTCTGGAAAAAGAAAACCTGTCTGTCCTGCCTAACTAAAAGTAAACAGGACTAGCCCTAGGCAAAATTGTAAGGTCAGGGAAGTTTTCTTTCTTGACCTTCTTCTCCCTTCTTCTCCCCACTAGGGGATCCTTCTGTGTACTTCTGAATTTCCATGCCTTCCTGCCTTATTCATGCCCTCCCTACTAGCAAAACTTCGGAAGATCTGCCAAGCAGTCATAAATACTTGTTGAATGATTGGCTGATTATGCTTTTACTGCAGCTAAGTTACAGTTGTAACCTTAACCTAACCCTTGACTTCTCTTCCTCCTTTTGCACCAAGATTCCAAAATGTATATTTTTGTTTATTTCCTGGCATTATTTTAATGTAATGATTTTTCAAAATGTAACATCCTAGACCCTCAATCCACTGCCTCCCCTATTATTTCTCAATCTGCTTATATATTTTGTGACAGAGAAATGTGTCATTGAAATACAGCCTTCTTATTTTTCATAGAGTTATTGTTGTGAGCATACATATGTAGATGTGATAATGGTGATAGATGTATATATATGATATACATATACATACATATACATATACATGCATACATATACATATACATGTGTGTGTGTTTCATAGAGTTATCAAATTTTGTCTCAGATATTTCTATCCCTGACTATTGATTCCAGCCTGGCAAGTTCACAAGTAGTTTTTTTTTTATTTGTTTGTTTTTGTTTTTGTTTTTTTGGCTAGGCAGTGGGGTTAAGGCAGGGTCACACAGCTAGTAAGTGTTATGTGTCTGATTCCGGATTTGAACTCAGGTCTTCCTGACTCCAGGGCCGTGCTCTATCCACTGCGCCACTTAGCTGCCCCTCACAAGTAGTTTACAGCCCCAAAACATGGGAAAGTACTGTCCTGTCTTTTCTGGAATCACTTGATTTAGCCATTTGACTAGAGTATGGTGCCAAAGAGGCCAAGATTATGAATTATCTCCATTTCATCTCATGGCTACACAGAGTATCTCAACTTTGACCAGCTGGTATTATAAATGTATGCGGTTGTCATAAATGAGTGCATGAAAAAGCGTTTATTAAGTATTTACTGTGTACTGTGCTAAGTGCCAAGATAGAAACAAAAAAGGGAAGACAGTCCTTGCTCTCAAGGACTTAAATTGGGGAGAAAAGAAGGAAATGTCTGGGGAGTCACAGAAATAAGGAGTTGATGTACAAGGCCGTTATTTGACTTGCTGTCATCATAAGGAGTATTTGATAAGAGGAGGGTGTGTTTGGTAGGAGAGCACAATGACACAGGAGACCTGCCCATACAGCTGACTAGCTATGGGACCTCAGTTTCCTCAAGTGAGAAATGAAAAGTGCGAATTAGATTATCTCTGAGGTCCCTTTCACCACTGATGCAAGTGTGTCTCGCTTGGTGCAATCAATAATCCTTGAGAAATAGATGCATTTGATTTTGGCAAAGTTTATTTTAAATGCTTTAAGGAGACTTGGAATTTACAAGAATCCTCTGGTGGGCCTATAAAACAAAAACTCTAAAGTTTAAAAACATTATTGTTTAAAGCTAATGTGCATATGCTGGAAAGACAACCCCAAGCACACATCCTGCTAACAGTAGATTAGTAATATCCTACAAAGGACAACATGTTTATTTAAGAGACCCGTAAGTATTGGTGCTTTCACAATGTGGCCTACTTAGGCCAACTGTGGTTTATCCACTTAATGGATTGTGTCTTTCTTAAACATCCATCTAATAGCATATACTGTTACTGAGGAAGAAGATTGTAAAAAAAAGAAGACTGGCTTCTGGGGCTTTTTTAAAAATGTTTTGTTTGTTTATTTGTTTTTATATTAAGCTTCAGGCCGGCTTTTACATAGTCAATTTTTTAAAATTTTATTAATTTATTTTCATTTATCAATAATCACTTCCATATGCTTTTTTTTTTTTTGGGCTAGGCAATGGGGTTAAGTGACTTGCCCAGGGTCACACAGCTAGTAAGTGTTATGTGTCTGAGGCCAGATTTGAACTCAGGTCCTCCTGACTCCAGGGGCAGTGCTCTATCCACTGCACCATCTAGCTGCCCCATATGCTTTTGAGTTTAAAATTTTTCTCCCCCTTCCTCCCCACCACCCTCCCCAAGACGGCGCACAATCTGATATAGGCTGTACCTTTACATTCCTATTAAACATATTTTCACATTAGTGGTGCTGTAAGTAAAAATTAAAACCAATAGGAGGAACCATCAGAAAGAGGAAATGAAACTCAACAGAAGAGAAAAAAAATAGCAATTCAGCTTTCATAGTTCTTTCTTTGGATGTGGATAGCATTTTCCATCACGAGGTCTCTGGAGATCCTTGTATTGCTGGGAAGGGTTAAGTTTATCGATATTAGTCATCGCATAACGTGGCTGTTGTTGTGTACAACGTTCTCTTGGTTGTGCTCATTTCACTCAGCATCAGACCATACAGGTCGTTCCAGGTGTTTCTGAAGTCAGCCTGTTTATCATTTCTTATAGCACAATAGTATTCCATTACATTTCATATACCACAACTTGCTCAGCCATTCCCCAATTGATGGGCATCCTCTCAATTTCTAATTCTTTGCCACCACAAAAAGAGCTGCTATGAATATTTTTGTACATGTGGGTCCTTTTCCCATTTGTGTGATCTCTTTGGGATATAGCCCTAGAAGTGCTTTTGCTGGGTCAAAGGTTATACATGTTTTTATGGCCCTTTAGGCAAAGTTCCAAATTGTTCTCCAAAATGGTTGAATCATTTCACAACTCCACCAACCACGCATTAGTGTTCCAATTTTCCCACATCTTCTCCAACATTTATCATTTTCCTGTTTTGTCATATTGGCCAGTCTGATAGGTGTGATGTGGTATGGGGGGTTTTATTATTGAACACTAATTACATGATGCTTGGAAGATAACTTCTGAAGAGGTTGCTTTGAAGTTTTGGTTTCTTTTAATTCCTTTTGTCTTTTTTTTTTTCAGGGAGGTGGTTCAGACTTGCAGTTCCATTAGTATAGGCCAATGGTTCTCAGCATGTTTTATATCAAACTCCTTTAAACTTTTCAAAAAAAATTATTGAGTTCGCCCCAAAGAGCTTTTGTTTATGTTGGTTATAGCTATCTGTACTTACTGTATTTGAAATTAAAATGTCTTAGTATTATAAAAAAAAAGTTTTGACCTTGCAGATCCCCTGAAAGGGTTTCAGAGACCCGCATTTGACCCTGGACCATATTTTGAGAACTTCTTGTACAGGGAATTAACAGTGATAAAACTCCCTTAACCAATGTAGATCACTTACTGCTCTGTACCCTAGAGTATTAGAAAGTTTTCTGGGGCACTGAAAGATTAAGAGACTGCCTAACATTTATTCAGTGAAGATGTGTTAGAGGTCAAGTCTGAACCCAGGGCTTTTTGACTCTGGGACTGGTTTTCTTTATTTCATAACATGCTGCCTTTTTCTCCCCCTACTTTCAATTCTTTACTCTACAGAAATGAGATCTTTGTGATTTCTTGGCTTTCTCTTTAGACAGATAGGGAAATATTTATATGTATATATGTGTATGTATGTATATATACATATATGTGTATGTATATATACATATACATACATACACACACACACACATATACGTGTGTGTGCACGCATGAGTGAAAAGTACAATTTTTTACCCATAGGAAGATTCTCTCTTAACCTCAGTTTTCTCAGTTGTAAAATGAGCTCTTCTTATACTTAAGAAGTACAGGATAAATACACAGATGCAGACACTTGCACACAAATGCAGTTAGGTTTTGGGTCAGCTTGTCTTTTTATGTCTTGCTGATATAACTTTAAAAAGAGCTTCTCTAAGAAATAAATGCGATTATGGGATGAGAATCATAAACTGTAAAAGGGCATGAGATTTTCACATGAAGTTCTGATTACATAGAGTTGCTGATGTTCCTAGCAGTTTCTGGGAAATCATTATTTCTTGATGTTATTTCAAGTTTGTATTTCTTGTTTCCCACCCCAGGCCTGAGTTCTTTCTATTCAGAGATGATGAAAGGCCTAGGTGCTGGAGGACGCCTCTGGGAGCTCCTTGAGAGAAAGCCAGTACTCCCTTTTAATGGTGGGTTTACATTGGGTTCTCTTGGGGTTTAAAATGGAGTTCGTTCAAGAATTTGGCAGATGTGACTTTTGTCCCAAGTTGGATTTTCTATTTAAATGACTTATGTCTTGCTTTCTATTTCAGAGGGTACTTTATTAGATGAAGAAACTTTCCAGGGCGCTCTAGAGTTCAAAGGAGTAGATTTTGCTTATCCGGCTCGCCCAGAGGTGAAGATTTTTCAAGATTTTAGCCTTTCAATTCCATCTGGATCTGTCACAGCACTGGTTGGCCCAAGTGGTTCAGGGAAATCCACAGTGGTATCACTTTTATTAAGGCTATACGATCCTGTCTCTGGTAAGTAATATATAGATGGAGAAACTTTAGAAGGTAGAAGAACTTGGGTCCTTCATTCTCTCCATCCGTGCTCTGAGTGAGGACAAACTGAGGGATGATAGGATCATATAGTTAGAGTTGGAAGGGTCCTTAGAGGCCATTGATTCCAGCCTCCTTTATTTATAGTTGGGAAAAATGAAGAGCAGAGAAGTTAAATGACTTGTCCAGGATCACACAGGTCACTTCAGAGGGGGTATTTGAATCCAAGTCTTATTACTCATAGGTTGAGTACCCTATCCAATATACACCATGCTGAATCAAACTCCAGATGTCACTTGCCCAACAAAATGATATTTTAACCAGTTTGGTAGCTACCTTGTGCAAGAATTCCCCAGTAGGCATAATATAGTTCTCTATATTTCTGCATCCTCACATTTTGAATGGCTTAGAACTGGAAGGAACCTAAGTATCTAATCCAGCTCCCTTATTTTATATATGAGGTAGCTGAGGCCCTAGCAGCTCAAATGACTTGACCAGTGTCCTGCAGTTAATGAGTTGCAGAGCCAGGAATTGAACCCAGGCACTCTTTGTCTTTGTAAATCTAGTCTCATCATTGTCTCTTGGGGGAGGTCTGAGCTTTTGTTCACTTGGTCTTCCTGCCTGGGAAGAGGTCATATGTAGATGTTACCGTCAACACTAATGAGAACCCTCATGAGGCCATCTACTTCATCTTCTCACTTGTAAGCTGAAATACACCGAAGTCATTATGGGAAGATGTTCCTCAATGTATTCGGAGAAAAAAATTCACCTCTTCGTGCCTGAGACAATTCTAAGACTGTGAAAAGCTGCAGAATAATGTCAAATATGGAATTCCAGAGGGAATTTCACAGTTCCTCATATTAGTGAAAACACAGGTCCAGACCAAAAAAGATATGTTCACATCTTCTTTAGTGTAAAAAGCTTAACCCAGGGACAGGAAGTTATTTTTAAGGTATAACCTAAGTCTTCTTAACAAGCTACAGCAAGCATTCTGCCCAACCCCAAAGCAAGATTATTGGGAGAAAGGGTAAAAAATATAATAGGCTATTTAATTCCTGGTGAACTTTGAAGGTTGATAGTACTTAGCCCGCTTTCCTCCTAATGAAAATGCTACTTACTTTGAATGTGGATCATAGTATGATTTTAAACTCCATGTCTCCAGTCTAAAAATCTGGAAATTATTTTCATGAGCTGCATTTTTTAGCCTTTGAAATTAGAGATGGAAAAATGCAGTTGAGTCCAGTTTTCAGACACATTGCTAAAGTTCTATGTTAGCCAAGAGTTCAAGAAAACCTGGACTCTGGCTATGTCAGCCCTCTCACTGATATAGTTATATATTTTTAAATTATATGTGATTATCTTAACTCATTTTTCTTTATGTCAGTCATTTAAATTCAATTTTGAGTTTCTTTGTAAATAAAATTTAAATTCAAAAGGTCTAGTTTTTCTTTTTTTTTTTTGCTTATAGTTTAGAGTTGTGTAACTTATTTTTAAAAAGTACTTTAAATACTTTCAGCACACCTGGGCAGATCTCATCAGTGGTTAATATCTTGTTATTGTTATTCATTCATTTCAGTCATGATGACTCTTTGTGGCCCTATTTGGGGTTTTCTTGGCAAAGATACTGGAGTGGCTTGCCATTTCCTTCTCCAGCTCATTTTACAGAAGAGGGACTGAGGCAAATAGAGTTGGTGACTTGCTCACACAACTAGCGTCTGAGGCTGGATTTGAACTCAGGAAGTCTTCCTGACTTCAGGCCCAGCACTCTGTGCACTGTGGCACCACCTAGCTACCCTTTTATTAACTTATGACAGTAATTGCCACTCTATATATAATTGGCTCAAATCTCTCGATTATTATCTTGAAATATTGAAGTCTTTTAACTTTTCATAGTTTCTGTCTTATTTCCCCAAAGATATTTTTATCCTCCCTTATCACAGGGATTATATACACCACTTGGTATCCCACAACTCCGCTTAGCCCAGTTCCTCTAATATAGGAGGTACACCATAAATACATATTGATTTTACTTTAGACTGAGAAAACAGGTAATCTGAGGCTTTCTGACTTAGTGCTTCACTGATTCAACCCTGTTGGTTAGCTGTGAAATTAGAAAAATTTTATCTGTACTTATCTCTTCCCTAAGAAAGAAGAAAGGTGTCCTATGACTCCTGCATGGAGTCATACTTCGTACTAAGACTATGCAGAGCTGGCCCAACCTGTTGCTACATTTTGTGGCCATTTAAGTAGACAGTGATGGAGTTGGCTCCTGGTGTGTCCAGATCCATTGAGCAGCAAGTTGTGCTGTCGTGAGCTTTACTGGACTTCACCTGAGGCTTTTTCCTCTACAGAACAAACACATTGAAAACTTGCCTCCTCTTTCCATGAATTTTTGAGTTCAAGGATTTCCTGCCAAAGAGAGACTAAGATCTTGAGGCAGTGTGATATGGTGGAAAGAGCGCTGGCATCAGAGGACTAGCTGGCTTTGTCTCCTACTCCCTGTGTGACCTTGGAAATTCATTTAACCTTTCTGGGCTTGTTTTCCTTATGTGAAATTAAGGAGGTTGGACTAGATGGTCCCTTTAAATAATAAAGCTATGATCCCATGGTGTTTTCCATAATTTAATGTGACTACAAGTTTGGCACTCATTATAATTGTGAACAAGTGTTACAGTGAGTGTCTTGCTCAACTCACTGGTTGTTCTTTTTCCTCTGTCTCAAGAGGAGGGTAAACTGAGGGATATCAAAAAGTTTCCAGTTAATTAAATGTTTAAATCCAGAGTTTACATCATCCCAGATGAGGACAAGAGAGAACATAACTTTGACTTTTTTTTTTTTTGCTTTGTGGTGAGGCAATTGGGTTAAGTGACTTGCAGTGTCTGAGGCCAGTTTTGAACTCAGGTCTTCCTGATTCCAAGGCCAGAGCTCTATCCATTGCGCCACCTAAGCTGCCCCTTTGACCTTTGTTTCCAGAGGTGTATCTTGATAACTTTTCTTATCATCAACAAATACTGACTGAAGGACACTGCCCTATGGTCTGGAGCTAATTCTTGCTAAAATTTTAGGTTCTCTTTGGATTTGATCTGTGAAAAACTTGAGTCTGAAATTTCCCCACAGAATTCTTCCAGTATATATTCTGGGTTGATCATTAGGATCAAGAAATTCTTCAATTCTTCCTGATGTATTTTCTGCCTTCTCTCTCCCTGACTTTGCAAAAGGAAATATCACTGTCGATGGTTGGGACATCCGTCAGTTAAATCCGGTCTGGCTGAGATCTAAGATTGGGACAGTGAGCCAGGTATGGAGTGATGACAGTCTGTTCCGTTTTTCCTGTGGATTCTTTCATATATGTTCCTTTGCTGTCATTTGTTTTCAATCTAGTTTGCTACCTTCCTGTAAGGAGGAATAGAAGTTTCACTGAACAGTTAAGCCACTGTCTTTTGTTTAAGCGTTCAAGAAGTACAATTCCATGAAACCTGGGGTGCCTTCACACAGATGTAACACTAAATTTTCACCGGGTACTAGAGGAAGTGATACTTCTGTGAGGCAGCCAGTCCTGAGGATGACAAGAAGAGTTGAAAGGGCAGTCAGTATGTGTACAATGATGAAAGAGGGAAACTTGTTTTATTTGCTTTCTCTGTCACCAGATCTTATTCTGGATAAAATGCTTCAAAGACTAGCGAGCAAAATAGATGCGGAAAATGGATCTCCTTAAAAGGCAGGGATTGTCATTGTCAGGTGTATGTATATTTCAGGTTGTGGCTAGGTATCTCATCATTTCCCTTTGCTTTGAATCAAAGCCAAACAGCTTTGGAAATGCATTGTCAGGTAAACCAAAATTCTTATAATTGCTCAACATCTGCCAGCTCTCTGTTGCTGGAATGGCTGTTGGTAAAGTTATATGAGAGGAGAGCAAATAATAACAGTAGAGAGGGGAACTAGATATGTAGTTTCATTTATTATCTAGGGAGCCCCCAGATGAGGAAGTTTTCTCTACTAGTGTACACCAGCATCTTCTTTCCGACTTACGGTCTTAGTCAGTGGTTAGAGCACTTGCCCACAAAGCCATTATGGGTCAGAGGCAGAACCTGATCCTATCTGTGTCCACTACAGCAGAGATGTCAGACCTAAGGCCTATGGGCCCCCAGTGCAGCCTGAGTCAGATTAAAATGTAATTATGAAATATTTAACAGCAATAAATAAAAAAACCCAATAAGATATGGATTACATTACATTTTTAATTCTCATTTTATGTTACTTTTGAAATATATTTTCATTTTGTTGAATATTTCCCAATTACATTTTAAAACATTTTTAGCACTAATTTTTTAGTTTCAAGTTCCAAATTCTATCTCTTCCTTCTGCTCCTCCCCCAGCCCTTGAGGAAACAAGCTATATAATATTGATTATACATGTGAAGTCATGCAAAACTTATTTCCATATTAGCAAGATAACATTACATTTTAAAACTAAGTCAATATGGGGCTGGCAGGGATCCTTTTATATGGATTAGTGGCCCCGTTTCTACTTAAATTTGACACCACTGCTCTCTAACCATGCTTCCTCTCAATAATAAATAATAATAGCTAGCATTTACATAGCACTGCAAGGTTGGCAAAACACTTTGCATATATTTTATCTTATTTGATCTTCACAACAGCCTTGTAAGGTAGGTGCTTTTGTTATCCTCATTTTACTGCCGGGGGGGGGGGGGGGGAGGACTGAGGCTTGAAGTTAAGTGATTTGCCCAGGGATCGCATAGTTAATAAGTGTCTGAAGCTGCATTCGAATGCACATCTTTCTGACTTCAAGTGCAGCACTGTATCCACCACTCTGTGGAGTTTAAATTTGTGTTTCTCAAATAAAGCCGGCTATGTGAATTCATGGAGAACTGTGAAATAGAAAGAAGAAAACTAATAATATCCTAAAATTCCTTTGTAAACACTTACTTTTCTTTAATAAGTGCTGAACATGTAATGCTGACTGAGTAATGGCTATATTTCAAACAAACATTTAAGTACTTAAGGTCAGTTATTTAGTTTCAAATAACGGTCTGCCAGTGTCTGAGACACATGTGATATTTTTAATGAATTAAATTCGTTTAGCACTTTCCATGCCTCGGTTGTGTATAATAAAGTGACAGCATTTGCATCATGCTTTATGTTCACATGGCACTTTTATGTATGTATAGTCTCTCATTAGATCCTCTCAGTAATCCTCTGAGATAAACAGAAACACAGCCTGACAATCTCTGCTTTGGTTTTGTGGTTGTTGTTGTTGTTATTGTTGAGTCGTTTCAGTTGTCTGACTCTTTGTGACCCCATTTGGGGTTTTCCTGGCAAAGATACCGGAGTGATTTGCCATTTCCTTCTCCAGCTCATTTTACAGATGAGGAAACTGAGGCAAACTGGATTAAGTGACTTGCCCAAGGTCACACAAGTGTCTGAGGCTGAATTTGAACTCAGGACCACGAGTCTTTCTAACTCCAGGCTTGGCCTATCCACTGTGCCACCTAGCTATCCTAGTCTCTGTTTTACGCAGGAAGAACAGAATCTCTCAGAGATAAAGTGACTCGCTCTAGGTCATATTCCTGAAGCCCACCACTTGGAATCGGGAGTATTTGTGCCTATTTAGAAGGGGGAAATTATGGAGCCATGAGGGGCTCAGTTGTGCAGGAAGGTGGTAGGGGAGCTAAGTTTGTGAGTGTAGAAATGGGGCACAGAGATCTCCATTCCTTGGTGGCTGTGCTGTTGATATTCTTGGCACTGGTGAGTGTGGAACCTAGAAGTGGGTGTGACTGTTGACACACGTGTGCCTGCCAGCATCAGGAGGTATCTGACACTAGCTTAAAGCTCCAGTGAGGCCTGTCAGTCTTCTAGTAAAGTAAGCGGATTTCCTTCACCTATCATTGCCTTCCCTACTCGCTGTCACATGTCCTGAAGACTTGATGTGCAGCAGGCACTTGAAGTGCATGCTTTGTCATATTTAGCGGAGACGTTTGCTGACTTCTGCTGCATCTACAGTAAGTGATATGTTTGAATCTGCAGGAGCCGATTCTGTTCTCTTGCTCAATTGCTGAAAACATTGCGTATGGTGCGGACAACCCTTCCCTGATGACTCGTGAAGAGATCCAGAAAGTTGCTGACATAGCTAATGCTGCTACTTTCATCAACAATTTTCCCCAAGGCTTCGATACTGTGGTTGGGGAAAAGGGTGTTCTGCTTTCAGGTATGTCTTTGTTGACTTTTGAAGCAAAAAGATTGGTCCTCAATTATTTATTGCACAATTTTGTGGCACTTTGTATTTGACAGATAGGTTTGAGTCACTATATTTTGGTTTATAGTACGCTCAAAAATTTCTGGAAAATCTGTTGTGTGCATAAAAATAAGCAAACAAAAATAACCCAAAAGGATCCGTAAATTGTTATTATGATTCGGAACCTGATGCCTTAAGGCCACAGGTTCCTCATTCCTGGTTGAAGATAAAGATATTTTGTAACTTGGCACAGTCTGTGAGGACACAGATTCTAGAGAGGCCTAAGACAGATTAACTTGCTCAAAGTGAAGGACACAATGAATCAAAAGCAGAATTGGGATTCAGCATTTTCCCTTTCCTGGCCTGTGTTCTACCCGCTGAACTAATAAGAGTTTGGTGGCTGGATAAAGAGAGACAGAAGGCCCACCATCCTCGATGCCAGATCACTTCTGGAATGCCATCACCTCCAGGATCAGATAGAAATCCTCTGTTGGGCTTTCAAAGCCCTCCATAACCTGGCTCCACCCTGCCTTGTCAGTCTTCTTATTCTTCACTCTCCTCTTTGTATTCTTCGGTTCGCTGATATTGATCTCCATCTCCTGACTGCAAGCATTTTCATTGGCAGTAACCCATGCTTAGAATTCTGTCCTTCCCCATCTGTCTCCTGGCTTCTCTAACTTCCTTCATGTCCCAGCTAAAGTTGTACCTTCTGCCGAATGCCTTTCCTAATCCCCCTTAATCTTAGTGCCTTCCTTGAGATTATCTTTAATTTATCCTGTGTGTATCTTATTTGTATGTAGTTATTAGCATGTTGTTTCCTTCATTAGACTGTGAGCTCCCTGAGAGCAGGGACTGGTTTTTGCCTTTCTTTATATCCCCAGCACTTAGTATAGTACCTGGCACATAGTATGTGCTTAATAAATGCTAGTTGCCCGACTACTGAGTTCCTTCTGGATGTCATACTTCCAGCATAGATAACATCTGGAGGATGCCACCCAGGATGATGTTTGGTGTGGAAACTGCCATATGCAGAGGAGCTGAAGGAATTGGGAATGTTTATCCTAAAGAAAAGAAGACTGGGCTTGAGGGAATTTGCAAAGGAACTGTCATGTGGAAGAGGGACCGGATTTCTTTTGTATTGTTCTATATGGCAGATTGTATAAATGAAAAAAAGCACTTATTCAGTGCCAAGCACTATGCTAAGAGCTGGAGATACAAACAGAGAGGCAAAAAAGGCCCAGCTTTGAAGGGGTTCATAGTCTAATTGGGAGAAACCACACACAAAAGAATGTTCAGGGCAGATGAAGAGGCCCTATGTTTCTGTAGCAGTGGAGATAGTGAGGTCCAAGAGTCCAGTGAGTACAACACAGGCATGTAGGCATGTTGGCAGATCAGATATCAGTGCCCAGGGTGTACAGGGTACTATTGCCAGGGCAGATGTTAAGGTCCAGTGTTTCACAGTGGGATTAAGTGACTTGCTCAGGGTCACACAGCTAGCAAATGTCAGTGTCTGAGGCCAGATTTGAACTCAGGTCCTCCTGACTCCAGGGCCACTGCTTTATCCATTTTGCTACCTCGTTGCCCCATATTCCTCCATTTTACCAGAAGGGTTGTAGTTGGCTACTGCTTGGTAATATCATCTTTGGCAAAAAAAATTCAATATATAATTGTTCAAACACTTTGTAGTGGCATTAATTAATGTTAAGGTGTCCATAAGGTTGGTGATCTTCATTATTTATTACCAATAATAATATTAAATACTTCATATGTGAATAGCAGTAGTATTGGGCAGCTAGGTGGTGCAGTGGATACAATGCCAGGTTGGGAGTCAAGAAAGACCCAAGTTCAAATTTGGCCTCAGACACTTATTAGCTGTGTGACCCTGAGCAAGTCACTTAACCTTGTTTGCCTCAGTTCCTCATCTGTAAAATGAGCTGGAGAAGAAAATGGCAAACTACTCCAATATCCTTGCCAAGAAAACCCCAAGTGGGGTCCAGAAGAGTCAGACAAGAATGAACAACAATAAGGAGGCAGATAGGTGGCTCAGTGGATAAAGCAATGGCCCTGAAGTCAGGAGGACCTGAGTTCAAATCCACCTTCAGACTAAACACTTGATACTTACTAGCTGTGTGACCCTGGGCAAATCACTTAATCCCAATTGCCAAAAAAAAAAAAAAGAATGAACATACATATGAACAGTGCTTTAACATTTTAAAAGTCCTTTCATATTTGTTACCTTATTCATTCTGCTGGTGTTTTCTTTCACTGAGATAACTGATATTCATATGCTCTTTTTTATTTGTAGATTCTAGCTCAGTATTTTAGGAAAGTAGAAAAAGATGCATGCTTCTGTCCCCTTTCTGGTTATAATAGTGCTGGAGGTCATCCGGTCTATTGGGTTTGGAGAGACACTGTGGTGCAGTGGGAAGTGTGCTGAAATCTGCTTGGGACCAGATTCCTTCTCAGCCTGTAGTAAGCTGTGGACACATCACCTCCCCTCTCTGGGCCTCATTTTTCCTCTTTAAAATGTAGAGGTTGAACAAGATGGCCTCTGAGGTCCCTTCCAGCTCTACATCTGTGATCCTGTGAGGAAAGGGTAGTATGACAGCAAAGGTGGTGCTGACAGTCCTACTTTCTCTGTCTTTCCACCACCAAGAAGTCCCTTTCCCCCATCTTCAAACATGCTTCCTTGCCTTAAACCAGGGTTTGAAGTGTTAGGAGAAGGAAATAAGATCATAGGATTTAGAGCTGAAAGAGACCTTAAAGATGATGTCGTCCAACTCCTTTGTTTTTTAAATAGAAACCAGTGCCCAAATAATTTGACTTGCCTAAAGTCATATAGGCTAAATTTTAACTCAGGTTCCATAATTCTAAACCTAAAACTATATCCACTACAAAACATGTGAACTGAAATGATTTTTTTGCATGCCGTCAGGATCCTCCTCTACTTTCTCAACTATGAAGGTATGATAGGTGGGTGCTTACACACACACACACACACACACACACACACACACACACACACACACACACACAGCTCTCTTTCTCTCTCTCTCTCTCTCTCTCTCTCTCTCTCTCTCTCTCTCTCTCTCTCTCTCTCCTTTTGTTCCTTCTGTTCTGAAAATGTTGCATCCCCACGACTTAACTGTATCGGGGTGTCACCTTGTCTAATTCACTAGTGATTTGTGATTAAACAGAAAAATTTTGTTTAAAGCTTAACTTTAAAAATGACTTTCATCATTAGGTGGGCAGAAACAACGCATTGCAATTGCTCGTGCTCTGCTGAAGGTAAGTCTGAAACCATTTGGCATTCTGTAAAATTAGGGGACATGTAAATCCAGTGGTTTGTGGTTTGGAATATGGATGTGAAGATAAAAGGCAAACATAAAACAATTTGAAGGTTCTTGTCAGACAATAGTAATAGTCATGGTGGCAGTGGTGGGAGTGGTAGTAGTAACACATTTATATAGCATTCACTATGTGCCAGGCACTGTGTTAAGTGCCTTACAATTATTATCTCATTTGATGCTCACAGCAACCTTGGGAGGTAGGTGCTATTATTATCCCCATTTTACAGATAAGGAAACTGAGGCAAACAAATTATATATATTATTTGCTTTCTTTTTTTATGTTATCTTTAATCAGATCATGTAGCCATTTAAAATATATTTTCCAGAATGGTATATTTGTGTAAATTTAATTTCTGCTATACTACTTTCCAATTTGCCCAGCTTTTATTATCAAATAGGTAGTCCTTTCTTAGGTAATTTATGTTTTTAGGTTTATGAAACACTGAGTTCTCATCAATTCTTGTCAAAAAAGAAAGTGAGAGTTTTTAATAAATATTTCCAGTTTTTCTTTTTGTGGAATTACACTTGATATTATATAGTATATAATACTACTTGGTGTTTTACTACCTATCTCCTAATTAAATATTTCCTTTCTTCAGAATCCCAAAATTCTTCTACTGGATGAAGCAACCAGGTAAGGATAATTGAAAACATACACAAATTTTGTTAGTATGTATTCTAGCCTCAGTAGATGCTTTTGATTCTGTAACACAAAGTGAAAAAATACAAAAATGCCATTTTTTCCATCTTAATTATTTTGTATGGTCTTTTTCACAAACTGTGCTGCAATTAGAAAAAATACTCAGGAGAAATTTGTTGTTCTATTCTCCATCAAATACTTGCTGATAATTCACTTAAACATTATTTTTCTTCCTCATTTTCAATCACTGCAAAGTAGAGTTTATGTCTAAAGAGCTTTAAGGCTTATAGAGCACTTTCCTCCTAACTTTTTGAGGTAGATAATGTAAGTATTAGCATCAGTTTTCGAATAGTTGAACTGAGAACTGGAGTGGTTTGCCTAATATCACTGAGCAAAGTTTCAATCCAATGGTTTTTAAACCAGGTCTTCTGGATCAGTATTCCATATTCTTTCCCCATTATACTGTACTGCAAAATGCTTTTATGTACTAGTCCTTTCATGAAGGTAAGAAGGTTGTCAAGATTATTTTTATTTATAACATGTTTCACTCAAGAACCATAAAGCAATTTTAGGTGTCATAAAAATTCAGCACTAATGAAAGGGTAGTACTTCACAATAAATACACAAATATATACTATACATGGTCACTTAAATTTTATGAGTAACATTTTGCTTTTTTTGTGTCTTTTGTTTTCCTCTGAAAGTGCACTGGATGCTGAAAATGAGTATCTTGTACAAGAAGCTCTTGATCGATTAATGGAAGGAAGGACCGTATTGATTATTGCCCATCGTCTGTCTACCATTAAAAATGCTAACATGGTTGCTGTTCTTGATCAAGGAAAAATCACTGAATGTGGAAAACATGAAGAACTTCTTTCAAATCCAGATGGGCTGTATAGAAAATTAATGAAAAAGCAGAGCTCTATGTCAGCATAATGAAATGTACAATATGAAGTAAATCTATGCCAGAGATTTTAAAACAAAGCAACAGACCGGGGTTAAAAAAAGCTTGGAGGATATGTATGAAGTCTATAATTTAAGCTTCAAGTTATTTGAAACATATATTTTTGCAAAGTGTACAAAATACTGTTTTGAAACTTAACTGTGTTCAAAACCTTTTTATTCAGAGTTTTAATAATTATTGTAACTTTCTAAATGTTTAAACCACCAAAACTACTTTAAGGTTTTATATAATTTCTTTTGTGTTGTTATATACTAGAATATAGTGTAGCATATAGTTTTCTTTTGTCTCTTGGTATATACGTTGGAAACATTGTCAAATGACAGTTTTTTAAAGGGAAATTAAATTTAAAAGCCTGATTACTATAGGCCAGTTTAGCTTTCTATGTAATTCCCTTAGGATGTTCGTTTGCTTTGTGGTCCAGTTGCTTTCTTGGGAGAGCTACGTAAAATGAGAATGCAGCCCTTTTAAAAACATTATTTTATTGATTCTTTTTCCTTTTTATATAACTGTTCATTCTCAGTGATTACTCCCGCCTCCAGTAGACCTCTTCCCTTGTAAGAATGTACACTTAAGCAAAACAAATCCATACATTGGCCATGACTGATAAAATATGCCTCGTTTTGTTTTTAACCTAGAATTTCCTCCCCACTTTTTTTTTTTTAACCAAGATGGCAGAGGCAGGGTACATTCAGTATTGTTTCCCTTTTTCATTACTGGGTCATTGTATTAACTGTATGTGCTAAGCCTTACTACATAATTTTAAGAATTATATATAAAATTAGAAACTTTAAGGGGTAAGGGGTAAATTGATATTGAGTCACATTCTTCTCTGGTTTGAAGGGTTTGTGAATTATTTGGAAGTACCTGGGGAATAACTGATGAGGTGATATTTGTTTTTAACAACTTTGTGCTATTCTAGAGAGCTTCAGAATAGGGGAGACTCATTTTATATATTTTTACTGAATACATGTATGTAATAGTAGGAATGCTTTGGGAAACAAGAGAAGAGGTGCCACCTAGCGTCAGTTCTCCACTTGATGTCATGCAATGAATTTTACTTATGTGGAGGTTGAACGCTTGGTGAATAACATAAAAAGCGGGTAATTTCTCAGGCAAACCAAAATTTTCAACTTTGTATACACTGGCTAAATTTCCTTGAATTTAAGGCTGACATATTGAGATTTCCAACCTTGAAACATTTGGAATCTTTTATTATTAGCGTCTTTTATAAGACAAAAACAGTAATTACAATTAAAAGCTAATCACTGTTGAATGTAAAACTTAAAAAGCATATTTTTCTTTCATTCATAGCAGTAATCTTATATCTCAAATTCCTAAAAACAAGGCTGAAAACCTTTGAACTTGTTTTCCATATCAGTACCATTAATTTTCACGTTGCCTCAAAACATGTGCTTTTTGTATTCATTTTAAGTTGATAACTAGGAAGTGATTTTTTTAAAATGAAGATTTTCCCTTATGCTAGGTCTTCATTAATTTTCTGGTTGCACTGGAAGGCTGCATCTGTGAGAGAGAGGGAGAGAGAGTGTGAGAGTGAGAGTTTGTGTGTGAACAAAAGAAACAAAAGCATCAAGTATTACATTTTATTTCCACATAAGGGAATTTATTAATAAATCACCGTATATTCTGGATCAGCAAAAAAAAAGTACATCTATGACAATCACTTTAAAAGATTTACCTGTATTCTTTATTTTATATGTATCATTACTTTGGTCCTGCAAAAGAAAAAAATTAAGCACAATTAAAAAGCTAAATCTCCTCATGCCATACAGATATTTCCAAATGTGATTACTATATTTTATTTTCTAGCATTGCCCTATTCAGGTTTTTTTTCCTGTAAACTTTTGTATCATGGATTAAAATTTATAACTATTAATTAGTGTCTTTTCTTATCTAAGTGTATATTCAGCTATGCAGATTCAAGCATAAAAACAAAAACAAAACCTTGCAATACAAATTTGAAAAAAAAAGAATAGCAAATTTTTTTCCAATTTCCTATAGGAAAAGCACTCTTCCTCTAATACTTTATCATGTAGATTATTATTTTTCTTTTAAAAATAGATTTTATTAACATCTTCTGTTTTTATAAATCATGTATAGTTTCTTTCTAGCTACCTGGAGTAAATATGTAGGGTAGTTGATTGCCACGGCAATAGATCCATTTACAGATCTGACAACTTTGGAAGTCAATAGTGTCAACTCTGAAAACAAATGACCAAAGAGTCAGAGGTTATGCGACCCCTGCTAACTCTGAAAAATGAAATACCAGAAAGCTCGCAGAAATAATGCCCCAGCTGCTAGCTGTGACAAACCAAATAAGTATGTTGTGCAACCACTGTTAACTCTGAAAATACCAAAGAACTCACACAGGTTACCACAATCACAGTTAACTCTGAAAAATAAAGTAAGATAAAAACAAAGAGCCAACAGTGGTCACAAGCAAAAAGCTTTCTTTGTTTCGCTGGAGGAGGGAAGCTAGATGTGTGCTGGGGCCAAACCTTGGTACATATAGCAGTGGCTATGTAGTGAGCTGTAGCCATGACAATGAGGGGTAACAACAACGAGACAAGTGTGATTCATAGCAGAGCTTCATGACCGGAACATGCTTCCTGCAGGTGTTTGACAGAGCTTAGGGACCACTTGTAGCTGGGGCAGAAACAATTCTGGGATTTTGCTGCAGTAGAGATCATCCAAAGGGTGAGCACAGTTTGTTATTACTCCAAGCTCAGGGCACAGCTTGCTTGCCAAGCCTTAGCTCTGGAAAACAGGGTGTCTCCTGATATTAAAAAGAGAGAGGTGGTCTTGGCATGGGGATCTTGACAACAGTCAAACATTTATTAACCTACTATGTGTCAGGAACTTCACTAAACACTTTTAATACAAATACAAAAAAAGAGCGTCCCTACCCTCAAGGAGCTTACAATCTAAGGGGGGAAGACCACACACAAAAGAAAGCTGAAAAGGGGTGGGAGGAGTCATGAAGGTACTGGTAGTGGGGTAGGGGTGGGGGAGGGAGAATGGTAGAGAAACCAAAGAAGCCTTTTCAAACTCCATTCTTGGGTCACTCCTATCCATATCCAATTCCTAGTAGTGCACTACTGAACACCTTTGGAGGTAATCCCACAAACCTATAGGCTGGATTCACTACAGATTTATGTTACATAATTTCAATTTACTCTCATTGCTGCAGAGGAATCCTGTTACCTTTTGTTTATTAGCGGACCATTGAAATGCCCAGAGCAACCATTCCAAACTTCCATCTCTCTTCCTTCAAACCACCTCCATCACCTTCTTCTGCCCTAACTAGAGAACCTGACATATCATATTGTTGAAAAACACTAAATCCTGGGGAGCAGCTAGGTGTTGCAGTGGATAGAGCACCGGACCTGAAGTCAGGAGGACCTCGGTTCAAATCTGGCCTCAGACCAAACACTTGACACTTAACTAGCTGTGTGACCCTGGCCAAGTCACTTAAACCCCATTGGCAAAAAAAAAAAGACTAAAACCATCTCATTGTAAGTTCTCTCTTCCCAGTTCTGCACCTCAAATGACCTCAATTTTATATTCCATTCTTTCCTACAATTACAGGAAGCAATGTCCTTTCCTTGCCAAGGCTAACCACCTTCTACTTGTGCCCTGGATTTTATTCCACCATTATCTTTTCCCATCTTAAATCTCTATGCATTATCTACTTAACCCTAAAAAAAAATTACTTGACTCCATCAACAAATCAGAGAACATTTATTAAGTACTCATTGTGTGCCAGGCACTGTGTTAAGCACTGGGGACACAAAGAAAAAAGCAAGAGCAGGTCTTGCCCTCAAGGACAGGCATATTGATACATGCATGTATATAGAGAGAGTAAATGGAAAGGAACTTTATAAGGGAAGGCATTAGCAGCTAGGGGTGGGGGATAGAGAGAGGGATGAGGAAAGGTCTCTTGAAATAGCCTGTGGGCTGAGTCTTGAAGGACCCTGGGATTCTAAGAGTTTGGGTGAGGAGGAGGGGGGTATTCCAGGTATGAGTTCTCAAGCACCCAGTCAGGAGGTGGGCTGTTGTATATGAGGAAAAGCCAGAAGACCTTTCAATTAACTCTCAAAAAGCTGTGTATAGTGTCACATCCACTTCACCTCCCTCTCAGTTCTCACCCCCTTATGATATGACTTCGGACTTTTTCTATCTAAGGTCACAAATGATGGTTACCACATACATGGTCACCACAATTTTTCTTAAAATAATTTTTCATGGATATCTTTCATTTTTTTGTCCTTTCTTGGAGGCAATCAGGGTTAAGTGACTTGCCCAGGGTCACATAGCTAGTAAGTGTCTGAGGCTAGATTTGAACTTAGGTCGTCCTGACACCAGGGCTGTTGCCATTGACTATCTTTAATTTTTATATCAACTACATTTCCCAATATCTTCCCTCTTTCCCATTCCAGGGAGCCATGCCTTATAATCCCAACCGTACCCTCTACTCACCTCTTGCTCTGGGCTAAGCTCCAGTGCTCAACACAGTGCTTGGCCCACAGTAGGTGTTTAAGTAGCCCTTACTGAGTGGGAACCTTAAGCAAATCAATACTACCATAACTTCTGGAAAGAGCATGTTAAACAATTACTGTCTCTCTACTCATCATTCTCATAACTTCCTAAAGACTAAAATTCCCCTTACTAGACACCATTTCCTTAGATCAAAGCCTAACCTGTAGTAAGTAATCCTTTGATAAATACTCATTCATTTATTCATTCACATGAGTTAATCACAGTGCTTTGAACACTGTCAAGTGTCCAATAAATATTTGATGAAGGAAGTATCCAACTACCTATATGGAAAATTCCACAGATGCAGTCATAGCTGGAAGGGACTCAGAGGTCAATCTCTTCAACCTCTTAATTTTACAGATGAGGAAACAGAGGCCCTAGGCGCTTGAGTGATTTGCCACGTCAACTAGCATTTATTTAGCTCCCACTATGTGCCAGGAACTGTGATAATCTCAGGCAATACAAAGAAAGGCAAAAGACGTTCCCTGCTTTCAAGGCATTTATTGTAGAATGCAGACAAATGCAAAATAACTGTGCTCAAATAAAATATATACTAAGGAGAGAAACAACAGGATCTGGGGTCAGGAAATGACTTGACACCAGGTGTGAGGTGATGAGGACCTGCACCAGGGTGGTAGTGGTGCCAGAGGATAAAAGGGGTCACAGAAAAGAGACCAAGATAGAGACGAGAAAACTTGGCAGAGTCTACATTTAAACCCCGATTCTGTCTCCAAGTCGCACTCTTTCTACACCATCTTCCAGACTCAGAAAGTCTGGAACAATAATAGTTTGCACTTATACGTTGCTTTAAGGTTTGCAAAGCGCTTTACAGGTTAAGAGCGTTTCGTGTTTTCTCCTTTGACCCTCACTACCCCATTTTTTAGATGAGGTAGAGGTTAAGTGACTTGTCCAGGGCTAAACCGCTAAATATGACAGGCAGGATTTGAACTCGGGTCTTCTGGTTCCAAGTTCAAACTCTACAGACCGCCCCACTGCGCTGACTAGAGGAGCAAGTAGGATTTTTGCAAAGAATTCTTTTCGGTACGTTGGCGGCTCGTGATGCTCTTGTACTTCTGCCAAACCTAAAACCTGGAGACCCTTCATAGGGCCTAGAATGAAGTTTGGATTCAGTCAAACGGTCGCACTTGAGAACCTAGAGGGCCGCAGGCCGCAGGTTTCCCACCTCTGTCCCAGCGAGTACCTTCAGGGTCTTTGTCTAAAAACCACAGAGCTCGGCTGCCTAGCCATAAGTGGGACCGACCCAAGTTCCGGGAGAAAGGAGGCGGGATTTCCGGTTTCACTTCCGGGTTCACTCCCGACCTCACTCCCGTCAAATGCGACCCGCGCGCCAGGCCCAATCATGCGGCCGGAAACACCGGAGGGCGCGGGCGTCGTGACGTCATCGCAGCGCGCCTCGTTTTCAACCGGCCCGCGTTCCCTTCAGCTGCCGTGTTTTGGATCCATACAGCGTTTCCCGTCCCGTCATGTTCCCCACTGCCTCCGCCTCCCCGCGGACCCCGGGCCCTGGGGTCCGCAGGGGCCCGTTGGGGGGATCCACGCCGGTCTCCACGCCCCGCCCGGGGGGTAGGAAGGGCCTGACCCTGGGGTCAGCCGTGGGCTCTCCTGGGCTGTTCTCGCCCGTTAGCCGACGGAGCTCCCTGAGCGCGCGGTAAGTGATTCCTTCCACCCCCTCCCCCACCTTCATCACTCAACTGCTGCGTGCACCGTCTCATGACATCCCGTGGGGCTGCGCGGGCAACCTCCCCGCGCGCGTACCCCGTGCCCTGCGTGGTGTACGAACTCGGCGTGTTTGGGAATGGGATGACCAACCACCTTGGGTGGGGCCTGTGTCCCAGTGCCCCGCCCTCGGCCCGGCCCGGCTCGGCCTGCCCTGGCCCTGCCCTGCCCAAAGAATGCTGGTGGCACTGAATCGAGCAATGGAAAGCGCACAGGAAAGTGCCCCTCCCCATATCTCCCCATCCCACCCCCATAAGCTTTCTTACACCCACCACCAGAAAGTGCTGGTTGTTATTGAGCAGTCATAATCATAATGATACATATAGATTGAACGTTTTAAGTTACAAAGCGCTTTCCGCACCAAAACCCTGTGAAGTCCTCTGTGCAAGTATGGCCGTCTTTTTACAGATGCTCGAGCTGAAGCTCAGGTTGTGATTGGCTGTTAGTGATACAGCTGAAATGTTAAGAGTCAGCACTCAAGTTCAGGTTTCCTGATTCCAAAGCCCAGAAGTCAGTCAACTAGCATTTATTAAGAGCTTAAAATGTGCCAGGCACTGTGCTACATCCTTAAGAAGCAAATGTTGGGGGACTGGAGGGATT